CCAACTCAAAAAAAAAAAAAAAAAATCTTAGGAGGAAGAGGTCATCGTGGCTGCAACAGAAAGCACTGCTAGATAAGTAGGCAGAGGCACTAGATAATCTGCCAGTCCTTCAACTGACAATAAGCTACAAGGGTTGGAGTAATTATGATGACGAAACCACTGGGATTCATGTGTTTTCTTTAAAAGTTCTTCTGAAGTGTACTTTTGAAAACAATCGATATTTTCACTTCTCTTTTTCAGAAATGACTAATACACACTTGTCATATAATAAAACCAAATAAATAAGCACAAATTTAAAAATATAAAATATCCCCAAGTTCCATAAGATGCCTTACATAGTCAATAGAAATGATCTGCGAGCTATTTTAGGCATGTGTTTATTACTGTTATTACCACTTTACCATTAATAAGTTATTTAATAAGTAACTGGAAAACTAGTGAGAAATCTGAGCGTCTTGCCTGTAGGTAAGGCCCAGCACTATTTAGGTGAGACCAGTGATTTAGACACCACTTCCACCTGCTGGCAGCATTGTCAAACTACAGGTCCTGGTGTTTCCCAGCTGACATAGCTTGAGAGTTTGAGAAATTATCAGCTTTTGAGTTGTGAGGTGATAGCAAACGTCACCGACAGTACTAAGCTGAACTGTTCTCCTCAACTTCCTGTAGGTCTTTTTGGGTTTAGTGAGCTTAAAGGAATACTGTGATTTGAGTGAATGATGTGGATAATCCAGCAATGTCTCCGCACGGTCTGACACTGGAGGTCAGGCAGCAGAGGCTGGCAAGCCAAGCACCCCTAGAGACAGCGCCCTGAAACATGGCCATGGCTTGCTCGACGGCTGCCTGCCATGAGCACTTTTACCCAGATAGGGTCTGAAGGCAAACCAAGTTTAAGGGTCTTGAGGTTAAAAGTGATTTAAAAAGAAAATATCCGTCACCGTGGAAAAAAATTTTCTTAAGCCTGTTGTGAACCTTGGAGTTCTTTCTGGCAGGGCAGTTTGTGTATTTTCTTCCCAAATGTGCTGAAATCCTATTTGGCTTATCTCCTTGTTTGGATAAATGTGTCTAGAGTGCGGCTGCCTCACTGGCTGGTGAATTATTTTTCTAAATGGTTGGCTGGGCTTGATGCAACACAGCCAGAAAGACATTCCTTGCATCAGATTTCCATTTCCCTCATGTGGGAAAGGACACTTTTCCTGTACGTCTTTGCCACAGAAAGCAATCTTTGTGTGCATTTCCATGTGTCAATAAATAACTGAAAAAGCCGCAAGCTCTCTTTTTTGAATATTAAACAATTCCCCTGACCTGTAAGCTGAAGTACCTGTAGGGGTGCTTTACATGCAATGATTTCTCAAGTCAAAGCCACTGTTCTGCCTTACTGAAAAAGACTGCTATCAATACAAGGGAGGCTTTTGACTTGTATTAAAACTCTACTGGGGAGAATGAGCAAGTGGGACACAGTGCTTCCAGCACAAAGCTTTCCCATGGTGCCCAATTTTGCCTTCACATTGTGATGTCCCAATTAACGCCTGTTCTGACACCAGGAGTCAGCCTTTTGCCCTACGATGGACTGCAGGACTGTGCTTCGAGGTACCTTTCTGAAATATTCTTCAGATCTCAAAATAAAGATTAACAGGAAATAATTCATAGTCCATGAAGCAAGGCAGCCTAATTAAAAACAGGCTTGGCCAGGCACAGTGGCTTATGCCTGTAGTTCCAGCACTTTGGGAGGCGGAGGTGAGAGGATTGCCTGAGCCCAGGGGTTCAAGACCAGCCTGGGCAACATGGTGAGACCTTGTCTCTACAATTAAAAAAAAAAAAAAATTAGCCAGCTACTTGGAAGGCTGAGGCAGAAGGAGCACCTGAGCCCAGAAGTCTAGGCTACAGTAGCCCTGAACGTGCCACTGCACTCCAGTCTGGGCAACAAAGTGAGACTAAACAAAGCAAAACAAAACAAAAAACAGGCTTGATGCTATGAAACCTTATTTACCCAGATGATGATCAATAAGAGAGCTTTTTGTTTTCCCAAAGTCTGTTTCTGAGCAGTCTCCATGAAGGGGGGTCAGGCTCCAGCAGAGTTTTAAATCTAGGGTTTCTGGTTAAGGACTATATATTTCCAAGGTCTGGCTAGTTTCTCTAACAAACAAAATACCTGATTTTCTAGGAAAACAGAAGATCAAGTTTAGAGTTTCACTAACCTGAAACAGCAAAGGAAAACATTACTCTGCTCCTGAAATATTTCAGAATGTAATAATTTGTAAAAGAACAAATAACTAGAGGATGGAAGGTTACACAAAACATCCTGAAAAAAGTATCTACTAAGCTATACTTGAGTTGCTTATTAAATGCTCAAACTTTCATCTCAATAGAACAGAAAAAGGCTTAAATCAATCATTCCAGTAAACTAAAAATAACAATAAAAGCTCTAAAATGAAAAATAAAGCATGGTGGGAGAGCTGTAATCAGAAACCTTATTTCCACTTTCTGCTTTGATTTAACTTTATATCTCCCAATAACTTTTTAATCTGATGTATTATTTCAGAAAAATGAACTAGTAGACACCAAAAGATTAAAGATATTTAATACTAGATATAAAAAAGATAGAAATGATTATTAAATACCAATTCTGGAAAATTCCCAGATTTATTGAATGTAAGAAACATGCATGACAAAAATGAGATAAGAATTGAGGAAGACAGAACAATGGGTAACTATATCACTCTTCCGAATCTAATTTTAAAAATTTTGTTGTTTCTATGAAGTATCTGAACAAATTTTATTGTTTCAAAATACTGGATCAACAATAAATATAATAAATACTAACTTAGACCCATTCTGTGATAAACTTCAGATTACTATAGATTTCTTGAAAATGTATTACCACATCTTATATTATAATTCATCATTGAAAATCTGTGTTGAAATACCATGTATTATTCTTTTTTGGGGGTTGGAGTCTCTGTTGCCCAGACTGGAGTGAAGTGGCATGCTCCCGGTCACTGCAGCCTTGACCTGCTGGGCATAGTTGATCCTTCCGCTTCAGCCTTCCAAGTAGCTGGAACTACAGGCACATGCCACCACACCTGGCTAATTTTTTTACTTATTGTAGAGATGAGGCCTCACCAAGTTGCCCAGGCTGGTCTCGAACCCATGGGCTCAAGCAATCCTCTTACCTTGGCCTCCCAAAGTGCTGGGATTATAGACGTGAGCCACCACGCCCAGCCTGAAATACCATGTTAACTATTAGAATTGTGCACTATCAGCTAGTGGTCAAAAGCCAGATGGAAAGCAGATTTAAGCATCATGTTTTCTTAAGTAATTTCGACATACAGAAAAGGTGGAAAGATAACAGCAACAAAGACAAGGGAAGAGCACAAAGTAGTAAAAGAGGGAGAAACAGGAGAGTGAGTCCTGACTCCTGATCCCCCAGCTCCAGTCCTAGATAGGAGTCTACCCATTGCTGACAGCTCCCTCCCTTTCACAGGATAAAGCCTTTTCTGTCCAGAAAAGCTTCTGTAAAGGAAGTTATTTCAAATCTGAAATATACATACCATCCCCGCATGTCTGTGTGCATTTATGTCTGCAGCTGTATCGATACTATCTATATACCTATTTTATAGTAGATAATACATACTTTTTCTTCAAAATGGGGAAGAAGTATAAATTCAAGGGAAAGCTTATGTAATTAATTACATTATTTTAGTCTTACTTTCCTTCTAACTATAGAATACCTGGTAAGATATTATGAGGTATTGTTCTTAGAATCATGATAAATGCCATAAATATACAGTAAAATAATGAGTACAAATAATGAAGAAGAGCATTTTGATAAATGTGTGGCCCTCACAATTTCTCTTCATGAACAGTTTGCAACAGAGAGAGTTTACCTAGATTCAAAAAGAAACAGGGTTGGTTCCTAAATTTCAAAATTCTGCCAACTTAAAATAAATAAATAAACTTGGCAAATTCTTTTTTTTTTTTTTAGTCAGAGTCTCACTCTGTCGCCCAACCTGGAGTGCAGTGGCATGTTTATAGTCACCCCAAAGTCAACCTGCTGGGCTCAAGTGATCCTTCCACCTCAGCCTTCCAAGTAGTCAGAACTACAGGCGCATGC